TTTCTTTCGATGAAAAACACGTAGGCAATCCGCAGCCCGATGATGACTGTTGGAGTTAGTTCATCGTCATATGAATCAAGTTGACAGCCATTACCAAAGTCTAAATAGAGATCTTTAAGTTGTAGATTTGTCCACTTAGAAGGGACCCAATCGTTCTGGTTATTTTCCAGTTGTTTGAATAGTTCCTGTCCGAACCGAGTTTTACCTACACACAAGATTTATTATATAACTACGTGTAGAATCGATCAATCAGCTTGAACATACTATATTAAGATCATACCTATTCCAGGAGCTCCACCACTGACAAGAATGTCAAAATCTGCTTTGGAGTTAGAACCTTTAAGATGATTCTTAATATTTCTTATAATCCTTGAAATTGCCCGATCGGTGTCACGCTCCATAAAAGGCATTTTATCGTCAGGTTCAACAATATCAATATTAATAGCCTTCTTTACGGCAATATTAATAGCATCCATGACTAGTGATTAAAAGTCCATTAAAGATCTGATCACATAAGAAGATTCTGTCGTAATGAAAACAACAACTTCGCGTGTTACCTGTTTTCCCAGTCCCTTGTGCTAATCATAAAGAAATCATAAATGTAGTGCGTGTAGACAAAAATAATTAGACCAAATTATATTTTGTTACTGCAAATTTCTTGTTCGAGAGGTAAAAAATTGGGAGACACTTACCAGTGGTGGCGGGCAGTGGCGGTTGCACGATGATATGGATGTGTTCAGCAGTAGGTTGTTGCCCTTTAAAATAACTTTCAATAGTTCTGAGGTCGCTATCCAGTTCCTCACCTCCAAACTTTACTTTGATATCGATTCCTTCATGTAACTCATGTTTCTTGCTTTCAGGAATATTGACTTTCCATAATTTCATAGCGTTTGCGTCAGTATTTCCAAGGGCCACATTTTTCTTCTCCTTGATGGCTCTCTTGAGATGTCCGATAGTCTTTCCTATATCAAAATCAACAGGAAATGCGTTCTTTTCGCCTAAAACGATACAACCTAGCATAATTTCGGTATATCTGCAAACGTGAAAAATCAAGTTAAAACGGGATTTAAAACAGATTTTCCAGTAAGTACAAATAAAGACCTTGTTAAAGGACTGCTTAACGGACGTTTCTTTCCATTCATTTTTGTATATAAGTCCAGTTTCGGTTTACAAAAAAAAAAATACTATACGTATGGAAACTTACCAAATTTATATATATTCTAGCTAAAACAGGTGATCTTCACTACTTACGTCACGATTGATTTTGCGATACAGCCGGCATTTTTTATAATGTGTATTAGTATTGTAGACAAGACCTCGTATGTTTATCCATGCTAATGAACTTTTAAATTATTACATCTTATATAAAATTATTATTGAACATGCAATCCAACTATTCATTAAGGGAATTAAATGCCAAGCGCTTGAAGGTATTTTTACAAAAGATGTTTTGCGATCTCCAGTAAATTCTAACGATACTCCGGCATATAATACACCTGATAATACTTCAAATTCTAATATTACTCCCGAACAAATAGAAAATAGCTCTGATATAACATCTAAGGAATAGCCGATCCTCCACGTCTTCTATTACTATAAAAACTGCATCATTGGAAGAGAAGAAAATTAATGATTTCCTGGATAGCGTACATAAAGAAAAGATTGGTGAGAAAATAAGAGAAAAGAACTATCAGAAATTTATGAAAACTCAAGTTCTATTAATAATTATAATATAGATAGGGATGTGACGACTACTACCCAGGATGAAGCGCCCAGCAGTACTATCTTTACGCTTTTATATGAAAAACTTTGTGATGCTATGATTCTTGCTGATCGTAAAACCCAAGAAGCTATCGCGTGTTATTGCCTATTTGGAAAGTCACTTATTCAAAGACGTAATGAAATAGCATCGGAGAGGCAAGTTGATCCAGAATCCAATATTGTTGGTAGAATTTTAAATAAAAAAGTAAAAGCACAGTTACCCACAGATACTTCTGATAACCTTTTACGTAAGAGAATCGAAAAAGCAAAGAAGCTTTATAAACTTTTTTGATGCAATAGGTATGGATAAAATTTATCACATTCATTCCCTTTCTGCTGATAATATATCTAAATTAACAAAAATAGAAACTCAGTATATTATAGAAAATGTATCCTTTGATTATATTATAGCATTGATGTGAGCTTGCATCTGGCTGAGTTACGGGATGATGAGAAAGTTCTATATTAACACATGTAATGCAACTTTGTAAACCGAGTTCATGAAGTGATTGGCAAAATTCTTGTGAGAAGGAAAATAAAAGTTCAGAAACATCTGCTTTCTTCATCCCATTGTCTAATACATCTAATTTGAAAGATAAGTGAGGATAACAAATCTTTACCGCTGGAGAAGATGAATATATTTACTGGAGTAATTTAAAAGGATAAATCAGAAACTGTAAATGAGGATAATAATATAAGCGAGAAAGTCAAATCTTTACTGGAGGAAGAGATAGATGAATCCGATAATTCTTTAGATTTTAACTCGGAACCCTCTGACGATAAAGGTTATTGTTAAGATTTAAATACTGATGAAACATATACAAAATTAGATTGTTCAATTTGTACATATTAGATACAGAACATTCTGCTTCGTAGATAATAATTAGATGCGATAGCATGACAACTTTGTGATACAATATACAATAAAAAATAATCTATCAATCCGAAAATAATATAATTTTATTAGCTAAAGGCTTCCTCACGCTAATATATTTTTTTGATCTGTCATTAAATGTGAGGGACCAACATGAGGTATAATCCAGCAGAGTTTTAGTTGCTATTGTCGGCCGCAGAGGGGGTGTTGTTTATGCACTACTCGTGTGGCACCCTTACGGCACTTGTGCATCACCTGTGCAGGTGTGCTTACAATGATTTCTAGTGAAATTTCCGAATTTAAAAATCCCTTACATTAGTATAAAAATATAATATATCACATATTAAAGATAATTTTTTATCGTTTAAATAAAAATTTCTTGAAAGCTAGAAAACAATTTAAGTAATATTTTAATATTTTAATATAAAATCTATCTATTTATAACATACTAAAATTTTATATTAATAAAATTGCTAGTTTTCAAGAAAATTCACAAACTATAAAAAAAAAAAGGATCGTCACGAATTCGCGAAATTTGAGTGAAAAATAAAATAAAATAAATTTTTAAATATTGAAAAATTCAATATTTATTAATAAAAATACAAGTTTTTATTTATAGTCAAACCTGGATATAATGAACATGTTTATAACGAAGCTATAATACTGTAAAATGCTGGTTATAATGAATTTTTGAATTTTGAATTTACTCAAAATTCATTATAAAAAGGGAATTTTATTATATAAATTTTTACTAATTAAATCGAAAGCTTTATTATATCTAAGTTTGAATATAATTACAAACTTTATTTATTTATTTTATTTTTTAATTATAAACTTTATTTATTTTATTATTTCCAATTTCAGATTTCGCTGGCTTTCGAAATTCTACATACCAGAAATAAAATCTAAAAATCTATTTAATTACTATAGTATGGAAATTTCACTTGAAATCATTGTAGGCACACCTGCACAGGGGAAGCACAAGTGCCATAAGGGTGCCGCACAAGTAGTGCATAAACAACACCCCCTCTGCAGCTGAAAATAGCAACTAAAACTCTGCTGTATAATCCAACATGAGACAATCATGTAATTTAATTAAAAAGTTGTATTATATAGATATTGACATGTATTAGAAGATAATTAAATCTATTAATATGATATATATTACTTGATAATTAAATATATCTCTATATGCTTTGAATTTGAATTTTAATTAATTTAATTAAATGAAATTCTTCAATTCTTCTTGATTGCCTATTTTATTTTCTAGAATTATTTAAATATTGGTAAGTAAAAATCTAAAACCAATACTATATTATAATTAAAATTACCTTTTTTAATAAGACAAACTCTTTTTACAGAATAGTACATAGTACTTCCATCTTAAGTTTCCACAATAATAGTTTTATTATTGTTAGTCATACTAATAACTGTTGTTATATTATTGAACATAATTTATAATTTTCATTTTCTAGTTGTTGAATTCATATCAGTATCTGGAGCAATAGTGACCATTTGACCAGGTTCATAAAGAGTTGTATGATAATGAACACTTGAATGTTTAAGCATATATTTTTAGGATTTTTCTAACTGATTGTTAATTTCATTATGAATTGCTAAAATTTTTTTTAGATTACTTTCAATAGTTGTTGATAAATTTATTTGTGAATTATCAACTTCTATTTCTTGAAGAGCAATAGAATCATTATAATTAAATTGCTGATAAATTTCAAGAAGTTTATATCCAAACATAACTTCTCTAGAAGTTTTATTATGAGTGCTATATTTTATAATATTATAAAAAATATATAAACTTAGATAAATTATTTTTCTAATTTATATTTTGCAATTGATTTTTTTAATCCATATTATTTTTGTTAATTTATGTCCAATTGTTTAATTCAAGAATTCAATTTGATCTTGTAATATTGAATGCTAAAACATTAATATCAAATTTCAATTTCAAATAATTGACAAATATAAGTGATAACATTTGCAATAAATTCTTTGCCATTATCAGATTATACAATTAATAATGCATCTTATTGAGAAAATAAAGAAATTAATATTTCTCCTACAACTTTAGCTTTTTTGATTTTGATTGGAATAGCCCAAAAAAATTTAGAAAAGATATATACAATTATAAGAATCAAGCAAAGCCATCATTATCATTTTTGTATACTGTAAAATCTATAATATTCCTTTGAAGATATTCCATAGGTTCATAACTTACAATTGGAGTAAGATCTTTTTTTTTAATTGATAATATTTGATTACATATACTACAATTGTAAATAAACTTATAAATATCATTTTTTATAATACCAATATATTGTTTTGCAATTTTATTATAACAATATTTTGTATTAATATGTTGATTTTGAACAATAAATTGCTAAAAAAGAAATTGTCAAAATTCCATATTCCATATAGATACAAATCATTAAAGTAATTATTTTTTAAGTTGTATATAAAGAAGATTATTTTTTAAATGTCAAGATTTTATTTTGCATTTAAAGTTCCAATAATCTTTTGATTTTATTGAGATATTACTCCATCTTAAAGATAGGTAATAATATTTTAATAAACAACAAGTGTTTTTTTATAAATCATATAATTTTTTTTAAATGAAAATTATATTTTTAATAATACATATATAAAAAGTTTATTTTTTAATATATTATTATTAATATGATTAAACTTTCACTTAAAATTAATTTAATTAGGTCACATAATTACATCATATTGAATTATATTTCATGTTGGTTCCTTACATTAAATGTTTACTCATTTTGTGATATTATATATAATTGGGAATTTTTATTCTTCCTTTTTATTGATCAGTTTCATATTAGAAAATATTTGAATATCTTTTTATATAATTTTTTTATAATATAATTTTTCTAATATTATAATTATTAAAAAATCAAAAGTTTTATTTTTATATAATTAAAATTTTTAGGTATAAAATATTATTTTTTTTTAATATTTGATATTATAAATTGAAATTTAATAAAATTAATTATGAAAATAACAAGATTTGTAATCTAATAGATTTAAATTATGATTTTTTTTAACAATTTATAAAATATTATTATTATATTATAAACTTATAGATTTTATTTTAATTAATTTATATATTGAACCAATTTTGATAATTAATTATTGTTTTTTTTATAATTGATAAAAAATTAGAAATTAGAAATTTTTTGATTTTTTTAATATTATTTAATAATAGTAATAATATTTTAATATATAATAAATATTTTACATAAATATTTAATATAAGATATCATATAAATTCCTTTAAAAATAAAGTTATTTATTATATATAAATATTTATATAAAATAATAATTTAAAATATTAAAACTTAAAAATAAAATAATTATTTAAATATATAAAAAATTAAATATATATGTATATCTAATTAGTTAATATTGTTTTTTTGAATTTTAATTTGATAAAATAATTTAAAGTTTTAATAAGCATAATTGTGTTGTTTGTATTTTATAAATATATTTAATTTTATTATTTGAAATTTTTATTAAATTAAAAATAAATAATTGGTTAAAATATTTATTATATAAGATTAAAAATTAATAAAATTAATAAAACTAAAAGTTGATAATATGTATTAACTATAGAAACAACTCTTGGAACATTTACTAGGAAATGTAAAGAAGTAAGACATGAATGCTATAATGAATTAAAGCCAGTGAAGAGAAAGTGATAAGGATCCTAGTGATGGTTAACAGGCAAAAAATAACTTCTAAACAGATCACACATGGTATGTAAACCCACCTTCAGGATATAAAGTTGGTATACAGATTAGAAAAAAAGGCAATGCTAAAGTTAGGATAGCTAGAACAAGTTAGTTAGATCTTTTATATAATGATTGTAACTTCAATGCTAAGTTAATAAAAAGTTTGCATGTAATGTGCTTTGCCTCTTAAAAAAAATTTATTAAAATTTTAAATATTGTATAATGACTTTAATATTAATAAAAACCAATTCAAAAAGTAAAATTAAAATTATATATAATTTTAAAAATATTAAAAAAGTTTTTAATTTTTAACAGTACTATAAGAATGCTTTAGTGGATAGCCTGAAATTTACAAGTTATATCAATCCATTTTCCATAAAAATATAAATAAAAACTATTAATTTCAAAATTACAGTAGTGGCTCTATTTACAAAAGACAAATTTTTTTCTCTTTGTTGAATTCGAAAAAAATATTGTTTATTGCATATATTAATACAATAAAAATGATTTCATATCGTCTTTGTTTATTAACTTGATATTTTGAATTTTTTCACATTCATTACAATAATCTTTGATTTTTTTAAATTACTCTTACTGATTATTGACACTATAACTTTATTCCAACTAAAGCAGAATTGTAATAATCTACAATGG